GAAAGATCCTCAGCTCCGGTGGGAGTGAATGTTCTCCACTTCGTGTGGCATCTTCTTCTTGGTACTTGATGGAGATCATCAAATTTAAGCCTAATCCCAGGTTGGTTAGCTGTCGTAGCAATGAGCTTTAGTCAGAATTGAAGTGCAAAGCAGATCTGCCTCAATTTGATCCGATTTTCAAGTGGCCATCTTGAGAATTATCGATTTTTCCCTCGGAGGCCAGTGTCAAGGCGAATTGCAAAACTGTCTTTTTAATTTCGTTATTTGTTTAAATAATTTTATGCATACTCAGAAAAAAATGTACCATATGCTTCTCTCAACGCAGGAAGTCTTCGATTCAAATTCATTTAATAAATCCTGCAAGTTAGCCACTGTTGCCAAGACAAAAAAAGTCACGGGAGTCATGCGACACCTAACGTCACCCAGATATTTAACAGCAGCATACGCGGGGTGCCTGTGGAACGGAGACCTATATCACGTGATTTCTTAATTAGAAAACATGGAAAAATAAAGTTAATCCCCTTTGCTTTTTGTCAACAACTAGATTAGTAGCTGGCGTCTCGCACAAGTTGACTTGCCAACGGCAGAGTCGGGCAGGTGCATGTCCGAGGCATGTTGTTCTAGAAAAATGCCCACAGTGGTTAGACGAAGACGTCCCACCCTCCAGCGGTGTTCCATTTTAGCCATCGCAGTGTACTGTTGAGTTTTTTGGCTCCGTAGTAAGCGGTAGGGCACATGTAGTTGGTATTTTTGCCTGCCACGCACCTCCTTTTGCCGTGTGATGGAAGGTGACTGGTGGCGATCACTTTGCATGCGTTTCAGCACCTCATCTGCTTCCGATTTGTCACCGCACGGACAAATACCCAAGTATCCTTTCCAATCGACGATGCAAATGAGGATTCCCATGCTAGTCTTGTGCTGGTCTATTATTATGATAGGTTCTAGTTGGCATGACCTTTTCTAAGCGTGGGTCGATAGCGACACGATCCATAAATCACCTACTACACTCGGGATAGCGTTTATCAAAATTTGTATACCTATAAACGTCTTACTCTTATTGGCGGGTGTAGAAGTACTGCGAGTATTTTAATAAAATTTCGGAAACACGATATGCTTTTCTAATTCCATGGTTTAATGGAAACCCCATTTTGGACACCTTCAAATGTGAGTGAGTCTGTTATGGGATAGGCGTTGGGGCCGACGAATTTGTCGGCTTGATTTTTGGCCTTCGATTTAACCGATTTCAATTACTTTTTAGCCACTGGATCTCTAAACTTTTTAAAATTTCTGCTCGTTTAACGAAAGTGTCATTTAAACAATAATTTTATTCCGCTGAAGCTGACCCTCTTTTGCGTTCCGCACCTCAGACAATGCAGACAAATTCGGAGATATTTGCTAGTCTTTAAAATTAATTTCCACCACTGAAAAGGTGGTTACCTCATTCACAAACTCAAAGCGTTAGGGTTGTTGTTGCGGTACCACAAACCAATCGTACGTGGGCAGAACCAACAAAGATATGCATAATGTGAAGTGATTGTGATATTTTGGTAAATACACGCAGTATGTTATTTAGCTTAACTGAACTAAAAATTCGTCGTGGTGTGGTTCAAAGTCGCCGCGCGAAATTTTCCGAGTCAAATTTTGCGCTTTCGGCTGTAGCACTAAGTCGGAACACTCACGGAAGTGATTCTATTGGACGAGAATTGGCGCAAATTGATTCGTCACTTTCAACCAATAAGAAAGTTGAATATTTTTGCAATGGATTTATAATAACTTTTGATCGGGCAATACCTTTTTACTTCTAAGTGGTGTTTTTTTTTAAAAAAGCTCAAAGAGATCAAAGCATAAACGTTTTCTAAATTGAAATCATTTTATACTATCGTCACAATCTATCTTAGTTTAAAACGTGGTTGGAATCGAACCAATCTTTTCAAAATAGCCCAACCACTAAGGCTTAAAATTTCATACATGCTCCTCGCTTTTTAATCTAGAAATCAATGCTTTCTGAACACAAAACCACGTGCCACTTTTTCTGTTCTGTTTTTAAAAGCGTTTGCGTAACTAACGCGCATTACAACTAATGTGGGGGTTTGCTTATTCCTCGTGTCTAATTGTGATTTGCTAGACCTATTACTAAGGCATAAGGGTGGAAATGATTGTGGGTGGCAGTGATTGGACGCCACAGTGATGTGAGGCTGTTGATTGGTCGATTTCGCATCTGCTTCGGATGCCACAAACAAAATCCAGGAATTGGTGTCTAATCATGATTTGCTCATTGTATTATTAAGGTATAAGGATGGAAGTGGTTGTGGGTGGCAGTGATTGGACGTCACAGTGAAGTGAAATCGTTTATTGATCGTTCATACTTCTGCTTGTGCTGCCACAAACAAACTCCAATAATTTTTTAATCCACTATTTCCAAACTATTATGTGGTTTCGTTACTCCGAGCCTAAAAACGAACAAGCTTCAATCAGTAAGAATTTAGTTTAAGGGTGTTTTTACACTTCTTTAAAGCACGTGCTAGGATTCTGTAAGAGAGGAGCGTTACGTGGACGGTTCTTTGATAAGACCAACATGAGATCTGCGTCTTCTAAGAATCTCTTGTTTAATGTAAGATGGGAATGCGTTGAGATGAGTCGCTGATCTTGAATCACCTCTTCAAGATCAAGGTAATAAATAATTAATGAATGTTTATCAAATCGAAGTGACTCACCAGTGGGGGTCGCATGCCTACCCAATCCCAAATCGTTATAGTTATTTAGCTCTACAATTTTGTCCGCTAAATTTGTAGTCGTTTTTTTTATCATACCTTTGACCTTCTGACAACTGCGATTCGCCCAATCAGAACATGTCTGGAGAGGACTATTGATACTCGCAACCCAATCCATGTGTGCTATGCTGTTTTTACGCCACCACTAATTCATGACTGTGTGCATGACGCCGCGACAAATTCGAGGTGAATCACAAAACGCCACGTTTGTTTTGCATCAAAAAACACCCCTTTGATGGCATGTTTTCCTGTGCGCTGGTTGCAACAGTTGTTCTACCGAGTAATTGATATATCTAATTAGTTAAAGGAGTATCGAAAGCCTGTAAGTTTACCACATAACACCCCCCAAGAACCCGCGGTTTGCGTGTCCGATTCGAGGGAACCATGTAGACTCTAGCACTTGATATCAAGAAATTCAGCACAACGATAGCCCAAGTTGTTTGCCCACAGCTGTCAAAGAGTGCATTTGACAAGTAAACGCGAAAACAAACGCGATTGTTTTTCAATCCTGCTGACTTGGGGAATCAAGCGGTGTCTCCAAACGGTTCTGACATTTGACTTTTTTGGCCCGGTGCAGGTTCGGCTCTTCCAGCGGTCCAGTCACATCACACAGCGAGATTAAAGAGTTCGGAGAAAAAAAAGTGCCGATTAGGAAATTAGTAATTGCATCTAGAGGCAGCTAACTATGACTCACCGTTCTTAGGGGTGTTGTCAATTAACCCAGGCAACTGCTGCGTGCGTAATGCTTGAACACAATTTCATCAGTAGTAGAAGTGTTACGTTTGTCCGTAACAAAGAGAAAACCACTCCAATAATGGTACCAGATCCCTTGCTGACGCTAGAACCGACCTTCCCAGGCTAATACAAGAACAAGACCAGAGCTTGTGTAGAGAGCTTTATTCACGTCAGCCACGTGTGCAGCGGGCTGTCGAAAGTGAAACTAATTCAAGTCAGGGTTGACCTTGACTTGATAAGAAGCGTAACAAAACACGAATTTTAGTGAATTGGTGTAAATAGCGCCAAAAACTAACGACGAGCGATCTTGGAGAATCGTGGATCCCCAACAGGAAGGTGATTGGCTAAGGGGCAACGAAATCATCCTGATTGGCCTCTCAACCTCGCAAGCCATTGGTTAATTTGAGATCGTTTCTTCTTAACCAAGTCTCGTCTACTGTTACAAGCTAGTATGTGAACGTAGAGGCATCATTTTTGGCTCTCATGGGTTCAGAAGTGGGAAATTTTTGCCAGGGCCAAGTGGTCAGGCGATGGTGCACTTCAAACTCTTCAACCTGGTTCCAGGGGGGAGGGGTAGTTGGGTCTGATAATCATCAATGAAGTGCAAACCAGGATGCACGCGTGTTCTGCCCACTCCCATTTCAGGACCTCCTGTGTGTGCGCACGTGCGCGCACCCGCACTGCAGAGGCATCGCAATGACCTTGACCTGGCAAATGGCGTGGTGAAAAGTACGTTTCAGTAGACATGCGGTGGTTGGTGTGACAGCACCGAAATGTTAACCAATGCTAGCGCACAAAGGTGAGGTGAGGGCTGGTGTAAAAAGTACCATGGCAGTGTGTGTTTTTGACATTTTTACGAACACAGCAAGACGCGAAACTTCAATCCCTCAGAACAGACGCCCAGTGTGCTTTGCGAGCATCCAAGTATTTTTTGCAGTGAAAGAATTTCGTGGAGATCCCCAGCATCGGTGATGGTGTTTTGTTTAAACGGATCACGGCACTTCACTTTTTAGTCAATCAGCGCCGAGGCCTAGCACAAGGCCGCGAGAGTCAAGTTCCAGCAGCTGAAAAGAGTTAACTTTTACTGGCTCGAGTTAGATTATTGTGATTGGCCCCGAACTAGTCCAAGGTCATTTTAGCTCGTGTTGCACAATTGCCTTGATAAAAACAGTTAATAAGTCACTATTTTTGACCCCAAGTGTTCACTCGCTTCTGTTTCTTATCCGTGACTTTCAAAGGACGTTGTTTATTTAAATTAAGAACGGTGACATTGCTCTTGAAAGGTGTCATGTCTTACTACTGACAAGCTGTCTTTTCGACATTGTTAAATGTCATTTAGTATTAAATACCAGTAAAATCTGTCAACTTAAGAAGATCGGCTGTTACGGTAAAACAATCGCATAATTTCAGCTGAAACTCTTTGTATTGGATTGATAAGTGTTTCTGGCAGTTGGTTGTTTAATGTGGGCAGTAGGTAAGCGTCTCATGCTGCCTCCAATTTAGGTGCGCCCAAGACGCAGCCATTGAAGCGCTGGAGAGGAGCGCGAAAAAAACGGACTACTTTTGCTAGTAAGTAGGAAGTATTACCAGACGCATGCCGGCATAGTGTATAACCGTGCTTCCCCGTACGCCGTTGACACAAACGCATACATATCGCCTATCCCAGAACAAATATTTATGTCATCGTGTTTCACTTTTCCGTAGCGTCATTTACGCGCAAGCGCTCAGGCGGTAACCATGGCAACGGTTGTTGTTCTTGTTGTCACGAACAAATTTTCTCAGGCTGAACTGAGGTTGGAATAATCTACCACATTGCATTCCGGGGTTGTTAAACACAATGTCTGGTCATGTAAATCCTATTCGCTGCAACCTTACATCACCAGTTGTCCTGTCTATTATGTTTTTCACTAATCGTTTTAATTAGTGAAAAACTTGGCTTTTATGCCCAACATTTGAATTCCCTGACTTGTTGCCATTGGTTAAATACAGGTAGAAAACTGCGAAACTCGAACTGTTGTACTGAAAGTGCCATTTTTTTCTGCACCAGTTGTCATTTTGGACATATTTGTTCGGAACATTACTCCTCTCATGCAACGAATCAACAATATGCGCAAAAGAAGCCCAAAAATAGCACCAATAACAAAAATAGGCTAAAACAAGCGTCCACTGTAAATACGCATTTCTGATTGGTCAGATGGGTGCGTGCGTGCAGCCCAGCTTCCTTGGGTGTTTGCGTGCGCAGGAAAAATAACCACAGTGTAGAACGAGCATACGCGAACGGACGAATATTTTTCTGCATGGTGGCAGCCGGAATTACACGCCCCAGTCAACTGTGATAGATAGATTCGCCTCACGGAAGCCATGTTTGAGGTGCGACAAGGTGGTGAGGCAGCGGTCTCC